GGTAAGGCAAACTTCCCTTTCCCCACCATGCATGATGCCTGTCTTCTAGAAATACATGGGATTCAGGGTTCTGCTCTTGTTACTTGCTTTGGTAGCAGCATCTTTCATTTCCAGCCAATCCAGGCTGTCACACAGCACTACACCTACCCCTGGATCTCAGCTTTGCCTGGCCAGCAGCAGCCAGTGATCCTGGGGCACACTGTAGATCCAGAAGCTACTCTTGGTGGTGAGCCTGGTGTGGCTGCTCATTCTCCATCAGCTGTAGATGGGTATTTTGGAGCTGTTTGAGCCAGGGCCCCCAAGGGACAGGAGCCCTCATGTCGTGACAAGGTCCTGTCATAGCAGCAGCAGTTTGTGCCTGTTCGGTGCTGTTACTCAGCAACTGGAGCACTGTTACCAGTTCCTTCCCTTGCCAGCCGTTTCCCAGGGTGGCCTGGGTCCTCTGTGGGTACAGTACATCCTGTCTGTAATCTCCACTGGCCCTCTTGGGACACAGCTAGTGAGATCAGCCCCTGCTTCAGCAGTGAAGGCTGCTGACCCTGAGCACTTTGAAGCAGTGACTTGCCAGAGTCTCCTGGTCAAGACACCTTCCTGAAGCCTCTTTTCCTGTGTACACGCACTTACCTTCACTTCTGGAGCTGGGAGATCGCTCTCCAGCGCAACTGCATTTGCCCGGTGTTCAGGCATTGTGGAAGCACCCACTTGGCATCCCTGTGGAGCACAGTCTGTTAGGGAGAGGCCGTTGGTCCTGCCAGCAGTGCCAGGCTTCCCAGAGGAGTCAGGCTGAGCAGATGGCTCTGCCACAAGTAAAGATGGAGCCAAAACCCTCCTTTGCTCTTGCTCACTATGGCTGTGGTCCCTTCCCCTCACCCAGGCCAGGTGTTGGCCTTTTCTCAGTTTGAAGCGCTCAAAGTGCTCTTCTCAGCACATTTGCACGGTGCTTTCTGCTTCTTGAACCACCAGAGTCTGCACCCACTGTCCCAAACCCCCTCCTGTGTCCCTGTGCCTGCACTTCCCTGCTGCCCCCATGCTCTGGGCAGCACAAAGCCCATGTGGTGTCCCCATCCTCCGCCAGGTCTCAGGAGGTGCATCATGCTCTGCAGGGAGTGGGGTTGGCGGTGGGCAGAGCCCTTGGGGAGCAGTGCTGCAGGTGTATGGGCTGAGCAGCAGCTCTGGCACTGGGAGCAGAGGGGCAGACAGTCACTGGGGTGCAGGGGGTGGTTTGGGGCAGGGGCAGTGCAAGCTGGGCATTGACTCCTGGCCACATTCTGGTGCTAAATGAATGAATCCTTTGAGCAAAGAGCAGGGGCATCTCCAACATGTACCAGGGTCACTTGGGGCAGAGGGTTGAGGCTGCTGCTTCAGGACAGGCAGAGAGAGGCTTGTTCCAAAGGATTAAACCTCTTAAGAGACCAAATTGCTGTTGGTTATCTACAGACACCAACTTCCTCTGCCCTCTGTGCTGGGCTGTGGCTGCCCTTAGCCACAGTGGCCAGGGAGGGAGGGAGAAAACCCTTTATGGATGGGGATGGAGCAGCTCCAGGGCTCCCTGCTTTGCCCACTTCCCTTTGCTCTCATCCCCCGGGGAAGGCCATCAGTATGAGCTGGGTCCTCCCCTTCACCCAAGAAATCTTTGTTTCCTCTGATCAAAGCTTTGCACAGGCTCCTGGGGCTCCCCACGCGGTATGTTGGCCATTGGGAAGGGGATGGTGCTCCCCGGCAGCTCAGCCCCCGGCACTGTCCCCACACAAAGCGTGCACAGAGGTTTACACATTTTCTAAAGCTTTTGATAATGTGAAGCTCGGGGGCAGGAGGGTGCTGAGCACACACAGTGATGTAATTTTTGTGTATGTATGTAATATTTAAGGAGAACAATTTAAAAGGCTAAAACCTGGAAAAAAAAAAAGAAATGGAACCCCCCAAAAAAATAAGCCAAAGCACGATGCATATTGTCAGCCTTAAACCTGGCTCCAGACTGTGTGATGATGTACAAATGAGAGCGGGCTGTAACTGTCTGAGGCGCTGGGCTTGGGGAAGGAGCAATTACAAACTCCGTTTATAGCCTTGATTCTGTACAGTATTTAATGAAGACAACAACCCCCAGCCCTGCCCTTAAGGCCATGCTTAGAGGTGTCGTCCCCGTGCAGATGTGGGTGCTTGGTTGCTTACGGTATCTGTATAAAGTGCTGTGTGACCATTAAGACTTTTTTTACCTGCAGAATTTGTTTTGTTTGGCTAACCCAGGTGTAATAAAGGAGGGAAGATGACTTGCCATTAAATTCTGCCTCTGTGAGTACTTATGATCGCTGTCTTTTCTTTCCCTCCCCACCATGCTTTTGGCTTTGGGGTTGCATCCCTGTGCTGGGATCCCACAGGATAAAGTTGATGGTGTGGGGAAGGTGGTGAGCTCTGAGGGGCCAGGTAGATCTGGCAGGTCAGGCTGCCCGTGGGCCACCAGCAGATCCTGTCCCTCTGCTCTGGCGAGATCCCACTTGCAGCACTGTATGCTGTTGTGGTGTCCTCAACATAAGAAGGACATGGAACTGTTGGAGCAAGTCCAGAGGAGGCCATGGGGATGATCAGGGGCTGGAGCACCTCCTGTATGAAGACAGGCTGAGAACATTGGGGCTATTCAGCTGGAGAAGAGAAGCTGCGTGGAGACCTCAGAGCAGCTTCCAGTGTCTGAAGGAGGCTACAAGGATGCTGGGGAGGGACTCTTTGTCAGGGACTGTAGCAATAGGACATGGGGTGATGGATTTAAACTGAAACAGGTGAAGCTCAGGTTAGATCTAAGGCAGAAGCTCTTCCCTGTGAGGGTGCTGAGGCGCTGGCACAGGGTGCCCAGAGAAGCTGTGGCTGCCCCATCCCTGGCAGTGTTCAAGGCCAGGTTGGACACAGGGGCTTGAAGCAACCTGCTCTAGTGGAAGGTGTCCCTGCCCGTGGCAGGGGTTGGAGCTGGATGAGCTTTAAGGTCCCTTCCAACACAAATTGCTCCGTCAATTCCCTATGAACCACCTCCCCAAGCCCCCTCACTCACGAAGTATTGTTATTTCTGTGCCCACAGGGCTGCCGGCTGCCCCGGCACATGGGGATGGACCTGGGATGATGAAAACTCTTTGTACCCCCAGCCTGGCAGGGGGCGGCTCCTGGGCTCTGGCAGCACTTCCTGGTCCCTCTTCTTAACTCACAGGTAGGTGTGGGATGGGATACCAATGGAGCCATATCAGGCTGGGACTGAGTGACTCCTGCACGTCCTGAGTGCTGGTGGGGTGCTGAACCCAAAATCATGCTTCTGCCATGGCTGCACCCCCTGGTTCTGCCTGCAAGGAGTGGCTGGAAGGAGGTGGGAGAAGAGATGAGCAGCAATGAGACTTTGCTGGAGTCATTCAAAACCTGTTGTGGGATTGGAGCAGGGAACTGTTGGGGATCCCCTGGGAGAGCCCATGGCTGTTTCGGAAGTGAGGAAGAGGTCAAGGAAGGGATTTGTGCAGCAAAACCCGGGACAGGGGCAATCCCAGCAATCTGTTACTGTGAGCAATAGCCACAAGAGGCCTGAGGAGACTCCACGGAGCCTTTCAGGCGCTGCGAACTCAATGGGTTCTGCTTTAGGCGCTCCCCTGCCCTGGGCTCTCCCTGACCCTCCCCCTGTTGGATGTGGTTGGAGTTCACTGGAGCAGCACTGAGCCTGTTCCTACAGCTGACCCGATGCCACAGCAGAGATAACTTTTGCTAGCCTGGGAATGGGAGCTGGGAACAATGTGCTCTTCATTCCCAGCCCTGCCACCCTAATGGCAGTTTGCAGCTGAGTACATGCCAGCAGCAGCACTGTTTGCTCTGCTGCTTTGGGCTGGAGCACTGCAAATGAAGTTTAATTACAGCAACTCTATACCAGACAGGCTGAGTAACTCTCCCCAGGCTGAGGCCTGTTGCAGGGCTCAAGCAGCCCTGGGAAAGGGGCTGTGTGAGATCCCCTCGCTCCAGAGACCTCTCCTTGAGCCTCTTCCATGAGTGACCCTGCCCTGCCCTGCCCTCTCCTGAGGCAATGAACCTTCCCCGCAAGGTCCCAAAGCATCGCTGAGCAGCTCCAGTGCCTAAACAGGCTACAAGAAACCTGGAGAGGGGCTTTGGACAAGGGCCTGTAGGGACAGGCCAAGGTGAATGGCTTTAACCTGCCAGAGGGGAGACTGAGATGAGCTCTTAGGCAGAAGCTCTTCCTGTGAGGGTGCTGAGGCGCTGGCACAGGGTGCCCAGAGAAGCTGTGGCTGCCCCATCCCTGGCAGTGTTCAAGGCCAGGCTGGACACAGGGGCTTGGAGCAACCTGCTGTAGTGGAAGGTGTCCCTGCCTGTGGCAGGGGGTTGGAAATGGAGGAGCTTTAAGGTCCTTCCAACACTAAACCAAGTCTGTGATTCCTGTGGGACTGAGCTCCCAGCATTCAATCAGCTCTAGCATGAGGCTGAGCAGGGAGGCACCAGTGCACCCCAAAAGCTGGGGGGGTAAGGATGGCAGCAGTGCCCCCATGTCCTGTCTGAGGCACCTACCCTGGGAGCATCTCCTGGGCCATGTCTCTGTGCTGGTTCTGGCTAGAGGTGGCAGTGCTCTGACAGGATGGTGGGGAGCAAAGGACTCTGACAGCAGCTCTGACAGCAGATTTTCAACCCTGGGGGATGGATTTTTTTGCAAACACTAGATATTTATTGCATTTCTCACAAGAATAAACTCTGCTTCTACAGGAAGCTTTGGGTAGAAACATCCTTAAAAAAAGTCAAGTTCTTGCACTAAGATATCTTGGTCCTGACCCTCCCTGGGGGTGGTGCTGGCTCCCTGGCAGGGACACAAGTGCTGCCACCGTGTGCGTCTGAGCCAGGGAGGGGACAGGGCTGTGCCGGCGCAGCCAGGACCTCGTACCAGGGTAGGACACACCAGCATCTCACCAGCACCAAGTACCTGATGGGGCTCATGGCTCAGGTCTGGGACAGCGCTGGTGGCTGTCCCAAGGGTGTTAAAGCTAGGCATGGGGGCAAGCAAGGGGATGAGCACCCGTGGCCCCTGAGAGCTATTGCTATGGGCAGAGGAGGATGTTCCTGAGTGGAAGGCTCTGCCACCCCGTGCTGCGCCGTGCCGGCAGCTCAGCGCCGCGGGTGGGTGAGTGCTGCAGCTCAGG